TATATTGGGTAATTCCTAAGCATATTTTCATCATGTATTTGTATTTAATTTTTATGTTTTTCTTATTTTCCATTTTCAATCTACTATTACCACTATTTTTCTTCTTTTTTGCACGATATGATGATAATAAGAATCTAAAATGGGTGAAACTAAGTACTAGTGTTTATTTATTTTTTTCATATTTTGTGAAATTTGTTTCATATCTACTAATCTTTTTCTTTTTTCTTTTTTCTTTTTTTTTTTGTTTGTAGGAACTTATCAAAGTTGCACCGTGAAATTGGAAAAATAAATTTTTAATTAATTAATTTTCTTTTGATATAAAATTTGTTGTTTATCTTTATTTTTTATTATACTAAAAATTAAATTTATATCGCTTATTTAGCTATATATATTTATGTGATTTGTAGTATTTATATACCTTAATTTTTTGTCATGTATTCATTTTTCATAATTTTATTAAATATTTCAATTTTATGTAATTTCATGATGATAATATTATATATATAGATATTTTTAATCATATTATATCATCTTTAAATAGAATAATTTTTTTGGTACTCAAGGCATATATTTCACATTGATATTAGTCTAAAATAACTATCAAAGGCTTCACAATAAAACGTTCCATCTTTTTGTTTTAATAGTTCAGTACACAATAATTCAAATTGTTAGCGGTCTAAATAACATTTTGCAAAAAACTCAATATGAGAATATTTCTTTTCATTTTTTACAATCGAGTCCATATTTATTCAGACTGATATTAGTCTGTATATAGTTTTAATTAACTATTACCTAAATCTTCAAACTTTTAAGATTTATAGTTGAATCCAAACATAGACCATTTCTAGTCTATATTATTCCATTTCAAATCCACTCCACTGTTCGTTGAATTATCATCCAGACCATAATTGATATGAATATAAAGTTTTCTAGATTGGTTGTGGTCTGGTTTGGCCTAATATTTTATTATTCAACAAAATATATGAATAAATATATGGTGCCATTTGCTTAATTATTCAGACCAATATTGGTCCGAATAAATAAATATTCAGACAAGTTTGTTGTCGGTCTGGAGAGAAGTTGTTTCAGATTAGGTTTTTTTAATTTGAATTTTCAAACCAATATTGGTATGAATATTTATTGCCAGACCATTTTCCATCTTTTTTAAACCGATATATCAGTTTAAAAATCTGCCTTCTGCAATTGTGATATATAGCACATAATCATGCATAATAGATTCAATGTTTACTTAATATGGTCTATAAAACTAATAGAAATAATCTATAATAAAGTACCTAGGTCAAATACATAGAACATAATCCAGAAAAGGTGATATACATAACATATTAATCTCAAAACTTGAACTATAAGAATTTCATAGTTTCAACACATGAAATTTCATATAACTTATTCTGCAAAACCTTAATTTCTTATGCATATTTTGTCTAATTTATTTACTTTCTTATTTTGTTTGACAACTTTGACTTAAAATTAAGAACCATACTTACCACACATTTTGTTCAAAATCCTGAGCTTGGCAAAATTCTTCAAGATTCTCCAAGTATGCCCAGCCTATTTGCACTTTCTTTCTCCTTCTCCTTTGGTCCAGCTAAGGCAAAATGTAGGAAATTGACTAATTTAATTACATAGCTCAAAACCTTGAGTCAAGTGAGTCTTAAATGCTTCCCACTTAGCTCACTTCTTATCCAACCACCTATCATTTATTTTAACTGATTACAGACAGCTAGATTGCATTAACTCTCCTTAAAATAGACACATGATCTATAGTTTATTAAAATAACATGCAATCCCATAATTAACAAATATTATAGATTAGTCCCTAATTCTAGAAGAGATGAAGGACTAACTTTATACTTAATGCGAATAAGGACATATTTTCTTTAAGTAATTGCAAATAAGGACTGAGATATCACAACTAAAAAATTAAAAATTTATGAAAAAAATTTAAAAATTTATGAAAAGAATTAAGCAAAATAGAGACTAGCTCTACAAAGAGTGATGAAATTATATATGAAGTGGAAAGTTTAGATACTTTCAGCAGTGAAGAGTCTGAATACTAAGGAGAAGCTTATTGTAAAGAATATGAAGGATATGGAGAATACAACAAAGTAACTATATGCAATGAAAGTAAGTAGAAAAAAATTAGATAAAAAAGAATAAACCTTGCATTAGAAAAAGGATCAAGTCAAATTCCTTTATAAGTAATCTTTTTAAGAGGAAATATATAGCTTATTACCAAATACCCATTAAAGAATATAGCATTCATATCAAGAATACAATAAGAATAATAAATATACCTCTATTTATCAAGGTAGAAATAGAAAGTAAATTGTCAATAATAAAAAAATTTGATAGATCAAAAATAGGATTTGTCTATATAGGAGAAATTCAAATCTTTGTTAAAGCTCATTTTAGAAAAGGTACAATAAAGCTACTTTTAATAGATAATAGAATTAATGATAAAAAGGATACTATTTTAGGATTAGTACAAGGAAACCTTAACTACTAAAAACTCATGTTCATAGTATATCCAAAGTATGATGTAAATATTAATGATAGAAATATCAACAAAATACTAAGTCTAGCACATAAATTTGCTAGAGAAAATTTTATGAAAGTGGATATGCCATTAGTATTTACTATATAATAAGTTACGTATTGATCAATAGTTATCAATCTAATCTTTTTAAAGATAAAGAATACATTGGATTAGATTCTATGTTCTTTGAAATAGGACCAATTTAGAAATTAGAAATAATCATTGAAATATAACTACTCAAAGAATGGGAAAGGGACATTAGCAAAAAACCACTCCTAATAAGAGAAAGAGAAAAATCTAAATTAATGACATGAGTCAAGAAGACTACTAGCAGAATAGAACTTGAACCAAGCCATATAAATAGCATAGCTTAGGATCTTTGAGTTACCTTAAGAAAAATAAAGGAGTTTTAACCAAGATGACCAATATGAAACATGAGGTGGTGTTAAATACTTTAAAGATCCCCTTTAGTCATTTCAAAATAAAAGGAGATTATTATGATTGGAAAGAATGGCATAGCGTTTCTATCCTAATAGATACAAGAGTGGGAGTAACATATATCCATAGCAAATGATCCCACACCTACAAAGATTTGAACTCCTAAGCCATACACATATTACAACTTTAATGGTATAGTCACCACAGTAC